CCCCCCGCCAGAAAATGGAGACAAAAGTGACAGTGTCGTTTTTGGAAATTGTTTGACTATAAAACTGCTGTTTCTTCTCTTCCTGCCTGGGTTCGGCAGTTTGCATCACTTGATGAAATCGCATCCCCAGGAGAACCTAGAAGACCACCTAGAGGCTGGCTTTTCAGAGAATTGGTCCAAATTAGTTTCTCAAGTAAATGCAACTCTCTGTGGATTTCACTAGTATTTTATTTCCTCAAACACCCTCATAAGAGTCTTCTCCATCCAATTAAATGTATTTGTACTTCAAGTCAAAACGAGCCCCCTAAATTTCCCCAAGTTTTAATGTTAATTTTAAGAAAGAGCTTCCCAATGGAACTGAGCAAGCCCTTGATCGTAAACCCGTTCCCACCATGCAGTGTGGTGCCACAGGAAAAGGGCATGGCTTTACCACCAATATGACTGAAAACTCTGTGTGGTGATAATTTGAAGAGAACGCGGTTTCTTATTTCTTAAAAATATTTTATAGTGCTTAAGAAGCAACCTTGGTTTTCTTTGGAGACGGGGGGGGGGGCTAATGTGTCCAAACTTCACCTGAAAGCTGGTAACTAATCACTCCCCTTACTCATCTGAAATCCTTAGAGTCTCATTCATTCAGATACAAGAACAGGAGGAGAGAGTCCATTGATGTGAAATCAATATCATCTCGAGGCAGTGATGGTAAGAAGTGTTTCAGATTTTCTTGACCTTTTTAAAGTGTAGAAAATTACAGCAGAATATATTAAATAATTTGTCAGCATATAAACAAACCCCAAGGAACAGGATTTCGGTGAAACTGGCTTCCCCCCCAACAGGCAGTAGAGTGTGTTGCATCGTAACCACCAGAGCCACTCAGTTCCAGTGTCTGGGCCCCTTGGGTGCTCGTGGCAGAGAGGGGAGCAGATCTTGGCTTCCCAACTCCAGCGCAAACCCGTTGTCAGCATACCTGTTACACACCCTTAGCTCCCTTAGTAAGCTGTCCCGCCTAAACTGTGGGGCAGAATTTAGCAGAACAGTTGTTGAGGTCAGTCAGGCCTAATTAACCCATTGGACTTGCAGGGAGATGTGAAGGGCAAATGTGATTCTGAAAGTTCATCCCTATGTGCCTGGGGAGATAGAAGTAATATTTACAGAAACAGGAAGGTCTCCATGTATGACTACGTAGGGGGGAGGAAAAGATAAGTTTTATTTTAATGGAGACGCCAAGAAAGCTGGAATGCAGAACTGGTACTCAGGGCTAGAGATGTGTGTTTGGAAGTCCTAGAGGGGACAGATGAAGCAACGAGCAGAGGAGCATCTCTCAGGTGTGTGTGTAACAAAAAAACAGAGGTTCTGAGTCCAAGGCTGGGAAGTACTCTCCCAGTGAGAGGGAGGCAGGAGAAATAGGCTACTGAAGAAGACAGGAGAGCTGGGAACCATGTGAACACAGGGCCACATGGACCAAGGACACGAGGGTAGCAAGAAAGGAGATGGCCAGCAGTGGTAATGCTGCAGAGATCAGAGAGCTTAAGAGCTGAGAGCAGACTCATAAAGCCTTTTTGCCACCAAAGTTCCAGGCCAGACCATCTTTTCCAAGTAGCAGCCAAGCATTTAGCCTTTTAGGGTTAAGAGATGGGTGAATTTGTTGCTCTGTGGGGGCCAGGAGTCCTTTGAGAACCAGGTCCCCAGTTCATGATGGGCTCCTCTGCTGCACTTAGCCAAGCTGAGCCATCAACACCAGATACAACTTTCTTGACTTCTCTCCAGCACCAAGCCTACAGAATCGTCGCTATCCATCCATGGCAAGGATCCATTCCATGACCATCGAGGCTCCCATCACAAAGGTGAGTGACAGGCGCTGCCTCCACTCTACAATCAGGGTCACCCAGCACTGGGCTATGTTTTGGAGATAAAATGATTAATGACATATACCACTGGTATCATAGAGTTTACAGTCTAGTAGAAAAAAACATATTAAACCAACACAATAAATAAATATATAATTGTAAATTATAATAACTGCTGTAAAGGAAAACAGGGTTTATGAGAGGAAATTAGATTAGGGCCCTATTTTGGGTGGTGAGAGGGGTCTGTCTGTAGCGGAAGTAATGTTTGACGTGAGACCCGAAGCATGCAAAGGTAAGAAGGGGAGAGGGGAGAAGAGGATCCTAGGCAGCAGACTCAGCAAGGGCTGAAGCCCTGGGGTAGGAAAGGGGGGATAGAAGCATTTGAGGACCTGAGTTTAAGTGTAAATGAAAACACTGAAGGGTTGAAAGCAGGAGAGTGACATGATCAGATATGCAGAGAATGGATTGGAGATGGCAAGAGTGAAAGAGAAAAGGCCAGTTAGGGGGCTGTTCCAGAATTTCAGGCAAGAAATGGTGTTAGCTGTACTAGAATTATAGCAGGGGGGTGGAGAGAAATGAACAGATCAGGAAATATTTAGGGTAGAATCAGTTTGACTTGGTGATTAATTATATTGTCTGGGTGGGGAGAGAAGGGGGAAAAGTGATATGTAAACCAGGGCCTCTGAGACTTCTACTTTGGGCACAGGATGGATAGAAGTAGATTTTTACTGCAGTGTGGAAGCCAGAGAAAGGAGCAAAACTCCTTCTATTTCATGTTTTTGTTTTATTTACTTGCTTGCTTTTGGGAGAGGGGAGCGAGACCATGAGTTTAGGTTTGGACATGCAAGATATTCCAATGGATATGTCAGGTAGGCAATTGAATATGCAAGTCTAAAGGTCAACAAGCGTTCAGAGCTGGGCTGTGAATTTGAGAGTCCTTGGCATATGGATGGTATGTGTCCAAGTCCTGGAAATGAAAGAGCTCATCTCTGGAAGGCCTGTAGAGTGGGAGAAACGCCCAGCACCAATCCCTGAGGATCTCCACCCTGTGGGAGAACTAGAGGGGAAAGACCAGCAAAGGAGCCTGAGGAAATATAGTCAGTGAGGTAGTAGAGACGCCAGGGGAAGGGCGAGTTTGGGGGAACAATATTCATCAGTAAGAAGGGGACAGGGCTGTGGAGGCATCCGTCCCTCGGAACAATGTGTTATTGTCTGATTTCTTTTGGATTCCAGGTATATGGGAAGTAGAATCCTAATATCCTCAAATCATTTCTTTCTTTACTTCCTTAGGTTATAAATATAATCAACGCAGCCCAAGAAAATAGCCCGGTCACAGTAGCAGAAGCCTTGGACAGAGTTTTAGAAATTTTACGGACCACAGAACTGTACTCCCCACAGCTGGGTACCAAAGATGAAGATCCTCACACCAGTGATCTCGTCGGAGGCCTTATGACTGTGAGTGCTGAGGAAAACCAGAAATTGGATGTACTGCAGAGTGTGTGTAACCTGTACTGTTACCTGTAACTGCAGAACAGCTCAGTTGTGTGGGTGATGTCAGCATAACCAGGAGCATCTGCATTAGAATGTGTGTGGCGTTAGGAATTCTTGCATTTACCTCTCTGTAGAAGCTTTGTAAGATGACTGACTGTAGCAATGGGAGACAGGCCTTCAGAATTCCTGTCTCAGTGAGGAGTTAGTAGGCAGTTGATTGACATGCTCGGGCCCTTGTTTACTTTTCCCGTGACCTGGTACAGTATTGGATTGAGGTTAGGGCCGGGTTTCCTAGGACCTCAGGCTCTTTATATAATTGAAAGGGTTTGTACTTAGACTATGGCACTGGTTTCAAAGATCTTAGGTGTAGAATCCTTTCTTTAAAAGCCCCTATAAAAGTTCCCTTTGTAATCGGATAAAAACGTATGGAGCTTTCTGGCTTGTGGGGCAGTGGGGGATAGGGGGTGCCCCCCCGCCAGCACTTCCACAGCACTGTAGCCACCACAGTAGCTGATTTCAAATGACTTGTCCTGTTCTAGAGTTTTGCTGTGATCTGTTTGGCTGTGATCATCTATTTCTTCAGAGGAAAATTCAAATTGTTCATTTTGTTCCGTATCAGAGGCCGGCCGAAGCTGGGAGAACTCTGGGAGCAAAACAAAGTCCAAGAGTCATCTATGAGTTTTATTTTAAAGGCTGTCATCTTGCCCAGCCACTAGGAGCTGAGTGCCGACCGGCCTTCTGGTCCAGCCNGCCCAGCCACTAGGAGCTGAGTGCTGACCGGCCTTCTGGTCCAGCTTCCTTGCTCCCGCTCGAGGTGTCTGATGAGCCTGGGACCTGAGCAGCCTCCTGCCCCTCTCCTGCCCCTCTCCTGCCCCTCTCCTGCCCCTGACTGCCTGGTCGCCCAGCGCAGACCTCAGTGAGAGAGGAGGCCCCAGGGTCTCTGGGGGCAGCCACGGCAGAGCGGCAGCCAAAGGATTCTGGCTCCTGGAGCAAGCCCCTGCCCCCCTGCCCCGGCCGCATCCTGTCCTGGGGCTCCTCTCCAGGTAACGCTGTGAGGAGCCAGGGCAGGATTCCCCCTTTTTTGTAGCTTTAGGCAGGAGGAGAAAGAAAGGCAAAGAAAAGACCGAGGACCTGCTGTGGTACCTGCCTCAGAGGCGGGGCGCCGCAGGCCGCTGGACTGATCTTTATTCAGTCAAAAACATTAAGCTCTTGGCCTAAGGACCCAAGGTGTGACTGTAACACTTTAAACCTTAGCGTACACTTTCTAGGGATGACAAACAACTATAAATTATATGAACAATTATTAAAAGACCCAACAAATTAGGCATTCAGGGGTAGAAGACGAAGGGAAGGAAACGGAGATGCAAGAACATCTGGGGACTAGTCCACGTTCAGGAGCCTTCAGCGGAACATTGGAATTCTCTCCACTCCTTTATGCTGTCCCGCCAAAGATCTCAAATCCAGAAACTTTTCCTTTAAAGACTAGCAGCAATTCTCATGCTGCAAACAGAACATCCAGATAGAAAAAAAGTTAATTCAGATATTAGTCAAAAAATAGCTCAAACTTTGTAAAGCTTTACATTAAGGAATTCCCAAATGTGGTCCACAGCTTTGGCTCCCTAATAAGTAAATCTAATAACACAGCCCCTGTGAGGGTAAGGAAATGCCCTTCAAAATCACATGTATCCAGACCAAAGCAAGTTCACTTCTGTGATTGCACTAATGTGGCCCAGAAAAAGAAAGATGGCAGGAGACTAGAGCCAGCTTACAGCTCAGTGTGAGACCTGAATGCAGTCATTTCCACTTTGTTCTGAATTCTCCATCTCCTGGGGCTAAGAGCCGGGGGAGGGAGAGTATCCTGTGTCTTGTAGCCATTGTTCTGGTTTAGTTTTGAGCTTCGACTTGGAGTTCCAGATTGACGGGGGCTACTCATGATTCAAGTCCCTTTGGCTAATGAAAGAAATGAGAAAGCAATACTGGCATATACAGCCTTCTTCTAACAGCACCCTTCTTTATTCTAGGATGGCTTGAGAAGGTTGTCAGGGAACGAGTATGTGTTCACTAAGAGTAAGTTGTCATCTATCCACTTGTTACTTACAACCCGTCTCCGGCCTATGCACTCCCCAGTGTTGTGATTATTTGCAGGGCGGGGCTGGGGAGGGGGCCTCAGTGTTACTTCCTGTTGGTCTCATTGGAGTTTAAGCCTGTCTACATTTGAAACCAGGTCTCCTAATTAAAATTACTTCTCTGAACACTGTCAGAATAAGAATTGCACATCTCTGTATGTTTAAACAGTTAAACTGAATTATTTTTCTCTTTGGGGGTCTTGAAATTTATTAATGTAAGAGAAGAACCTTGAAATGAAAATCTTCCTACCTTTGGAAGTCCAAGACTTTCTTTTTATAGTAGCAGCCATGAAGATGCTGACAGATGCTCAAGTGCACTCAAGAGTCCACAATTAACCAGCCTCCCCACCCATCTGTTTGCTCAGACGTGCACCAGAGTCACAGTCACCTTGCGATGCCAATAACCATCAACGACGTCCCCCCTTGTATCGCTCAGTTACTTGATAATGAGGAAAGTTGGGAGTTCAACATCTTTGAGTTGGAGGCTGTTACACATAAAAGGTATGTGGCTTCTCTGGCTGCAGGCAGGGAGGATTGATGCTCAAGACCTCACATGTGGAGACTTTGAGGGAGACATGAGTCCTTGCCACAAGACACCTCACAGGTAGTGCCTTTCTTGCCCCTAGAGGAGTGTTAAATGAGCAGAGACTATGGCCCCTGAGTGAGCTCCTTTATGGAGAGAGTATTAGTGGGTAAGGTGTGGGATCAGTCTGGCGATGACCCAGGGTGAGGAAATACTGAGTCTTTTTCACATCCACCCCGGTCCATCCTTTGTGCTAATGAGCCTAGAGCTCTAAGTATTCTCAGCCCCAGACTTGTTCAAGCCCCCCTTACAAAATGAGTTTGAGAGCATTATAGACTTTTCTTTTGGTTTGTCCTGTAGGCAGGGCAAAGGTTAGATGGCTCAGAAAGTCCTCTTCTATAGCGGGAGAAGGCTATTTCTTCCAGGGGTGTTAGTCTCTGAGGATGTGAATGCCTCTCACCTGTAAATAAGCAACATAACTCTAAATGATAGGACTTTGCTGAGATCACACAAGCCATTCCTTTTGTCCTTAAGCTCGGTAACTTCCTTGGGACACGAAGGAAGCACAGAGCTTTTGTGGAAGTGGAGATGGAGAGGAACTACCAGGGACCTTTCTGGTTGTTAGAGCCACTGAAGGGCATAGGACTTAGAGACAATCTGGAAATCACTCGGGTTGACCACCACGAGGCACCTAGGTGCAAAGAGGTGGCTAGTGAGGAGGAGATGTTCTTTCTCTAACGGGGGAGGAGATGTTTTTATGCCCCTGTGCATCTGGAGTAACATCAGAAGAAAAATGCCTCCATTCCCAGAATCATCAAAGAAAGCAGTTTCTGGGCCAGTGAACACAGTAAATCTGGGTTTATCTTCCTGTTTTCCAGGCCGTTGGTTTACCTGGGCTTAAAGGTCTTTTCCCGGTTCGGAGTATGTGAGTTTTTACGCTGTTCTGAAACTACTCTTCGGGCCTGGCTCCAAGTGATTGAAGCCAACTACCACTCCTCCAATGCTTACCACAACTCCACACACGCCGCGGACGTCCTGCATGCCACGGCCTTCTTCCTGGGAAAGGAGAGAGTGAAGGTAGAGTTTTGATATTGTGATCACGTTACCTGCCTAGATTGGAGATCCAATAATTCATTTTAAGACATATATTAGTCAAATAGCTATTTTGCAACTAATTTGACAAATTTTTTTGTTTTGTTACCAAATTCGCTGGTCATTTGGTGGTGTAAAGACAGCCTTTTCTCCTAGTCCCCCCCTCCCCCGAATGCCTAAAATAATGATTTATGCCACTGTAGAGTCCTTTACACGCCTAGCTGGTCCATGAGCCCATTCTCCAAATGTTCACTGGGAGCCCTTTGTGATACTGGGCTAGAGGACAGAATTGAATTATCATGGCAAATGGTTACTAGGTCTAGAGGGTAAGTTTTAGGATCAGAATCTGGCCATTGGTTAATTTTAATCCAGATAATAATGAGCTCTTCAGCACCGCACAGATTTGCATACATGTGTGTGCATTGTGTAGGTGTGGATATGTATGTCTGTATACTAATGACTGTGTGTAATTCTGAAAGAGTTCCGTGTTCCCTTGTCTTACTTAGAAGTCAATACTGTCACATACAGGTGCTGACCGGTGGGGCAGCCCTGTGTACACCCCATGTACAGCTGGCAAAAGATTCCCATCTTCCCAACTTTCATCATTTGCACGATGAAGCTTGTAATTCCTTTGCTGCAATTAGAACTGAAGCTCAGACTGTAGATACCCCTGAGAAAAGTACTGTATAGAGACTGAAACTCATATGAATTAGCAAAAGCCTGACATTAGATTTTTTTTTTAGCTTTAAGGCCCTGGTCCTTAAGGAGAAGAATGGCAGTGGGAAAGGTAGAGGGAACAGGAATGGCACCAAAGTGGGGAGGAGGAATTTTCTCCTCAGTGTTGCCAAATCCAGGTATTCACTTTCATCGGCAAGAAAGCAAAGAATGTGTTCCAAGAAAGATGCTTTTGAAGAATTCTGTCTCCTACTTTAGAAAAAGGTGTGATCACAGGTGATATCTGCCTGTTTCTGCAGCACCTTCCTTTGAGGAGCTGAGACACCTCCAGATTCCTACTCCAGGTGCACGTGCCTGCATTTTGCACTGTGTAGATATTGTATAGCTGAGGTCGCCCACTGCCAGCTGAGGACAGGACCTAGGGCATGACTCCAAGACCAAAGGATCCACAGCTACTGCAGTCTTGAGTTAAACATGAACCTTACTTTAGCAGAACCACTCTAGAAAAGATTAAATGTTTGATAAATTAGGGAATGCTTAGTCACTTTATTACCTGAAATAAGAGTTTGTGTTTACATTGTGAATTCTGTGAATGCATCAGACTCTAGTTGAATTTCTCAAATAGCAGCAATAGAAACAAGCCTAAGGCAAGATACAGTGCGCTTACAGTTCAAAAGACATTCTCTAACTCTGGCGCCCCTGCCAGAGAATCAGAATTTAGAGCTGCAAGGGACCTTGGAGAACTGGGCTGGAAGGGGCTTCTGAGCTCAGAGGTTTATCAGCAGCCCAAGATCACCGGTTAGTCCGTGTGAGGGGCTTACACCTGAGGCCTCTTCTACCAGACCTGCTGCCACTGATGAAGAGAGTCAGGGAAATGTGTTTTTACCAAATTCCCACATCTGTCACCCCTAATTTCCTTATACGTTAAGGCTAAAATTCTTTTTTTCTCCTTAAATATTTTTATTGATTTTTAGAGAGAGGGGAAGGGAGAGGGGAGAGAGAAACATCGGTGTGAGAGCAGAACAGCGATCAGCTGCCTCCTGCATGCCTCCTACTGGGAACCGAGCCTGCAGCCAGGCCACGTGGCCTGACCAGGAATCGAACCAGCAGCCTTTTGGTACATGGGACGATGCTCAGCCAACTGAGCCACACTGGCCCGGGCAAGGCTAAAATGCTTAATGTCATGTGACACAGCTCCACATCCTCAGCCCAGCCCTGTGGGCAGCATGCCCAGAGCTGACCCTCCCCTTCAGTTTGTATGGACCCTATCCTCTCCCCACCCTTGCCAGTTCCCCGGAACCACTGCAAGTGGAGTGGTCAGGACAGCCAGCATCTCGTTATGCCCCTGGTATTTACCGAGGTAAGGGACGGCACAAAGGCTGATCTGGAAGGGAGGCCATTCTGGCCAATTTGCCTGAGGATGATCCAGATCTTCTGCTGGCCAAAGAAGGAATAAAACAGGCAGAAATGTCTGCACCTCCCAGGGTTTGGAATTTCTCCTGCAGTGGTTTGGTGGAGAAGTTTTCTCCCACAGACAGTCCCACCTTCCCACAGGAAGGGCCTTGCTTTTCCCACACACTAGTGCACAGGCCCAGTTTTCCTTCCCGCCTCCCCCATTTCTTATCAGACATCGCCTGATCAGACAGTGCCCATAAGCACTGCAGGGTGTGGCCCGTTACTGGTACTTTTGTAAAAGGGCCAGGTTTAAATCAAGTGTAAGCTGGAAGAAAAGGCATGTCTCATCCGATGCTTGCATTGTCTGCTCCAGTTCCATGAATGTATTTCATTGAAGAATTTTAAAACTGGTCCTAGGCTCTAAGCAGGATTGAACCTCCTCCAGGAGCACTAGCTGAGGGCCCCATGGGTCCTGGCTGCACAGGTAGAATCAGTGAACGTGGAGCCCAAGCTGGGGCAGCCCTGGGTCCCGTCTGCACCTGGAGGTGACCATGGCCTCTCCTGACTGCTGCAGAGTGGGGCCAGAATGTTTGCTTGCTGTGAGCATTACAGACTCGATGTCTGAGGAGCTAAAAAGAGTAGCGTGGACTGTGGTCCCTGTTCAGGAAACCTGCCCATGTGGCCTGGGCCAAGCCAGGATTGCCCACTAGCTCCAGGTCAGGCTTGGCGATGGAATGGCTCCCTCCTGGTAGGAGAGCTTTCAAGAAGGCTTTCGGGACTGAGCTTCCCACTCCGTTTCTCACCTGTTAGCATTTGAGCAGTTTTGCCTCTGGTGCCGATGGAGCAACTTGGGAATGTCAAATCTTACGCGCACCTCTGCAGCCTCATCTTGGGGACACTTCCCCTCTCACTGCCCTGCAGTGATGCTTGGTTTCTTGAATCAACCGCGTCCTTTGTTTCACCTCAGGAGCGTCATGTAGGCTGTTCTTTCTGCCTGAATTCTCTCCCTGGCCACTTTGCCAGGATAACTCCTGCTTACCTCAGGCTGCAGCATAAAAGTCACTTCCTCGGAGAGGCCATCCCTGCCCACCCTCCGAACCTGCACTGTCCAACACGGTAGCCATTAGCCACGTGGGCCTATTTACATTTAACTAAAAATTAAATAAAATGACAAATTCAGTTCTTCAGTTGCACTGTTCACATTTCAAGTGCGCATTAGCTACCTGTGACCAGAGGTCACTGTCCTGAGCTGCTCGGATAGAAACATGTCCATCACCACAGAAAGCTGAATGGACAGCACTGCCCAGACCAGACCAGGCCTCATGGTTAGTCTCAAAGCACCTGTAACTCCCTTCTTAGCACCTCTCACAGGAAGTTACTTTTATTTGTGTAGGTGATTTTTGTTTGTTTTTCACTAATTTGTATTTCCCCGATAAGTTATCGCCTCCGTCAGTGCAGAGACGATGCCAGGACCATTCATCACTGCAGCTCCAGCATCCTGCATGCAGCTGGGCCCAGTCGGCATCCAGTGGATGATCGCTGGGTGAATGAATTCATAAGGACAGTGTCTCATGTAACAGTAGCCCATTTGGTAACTTCCTCCTAAAGCTGTGAGCTGAGAAAACATTTGTATCCCCTGATCCTCTGGTTTGTGTTCTTTAGTTATATAATGAGAGCTTTAGAAAGAGTTTCCCTCTTTACCTTTACCACCTGCTAGCCCAGAGCTGAATCTTTGTGGGAAAATCCTTCTCACCTGTGATCCTCTTGTACTGCTAGGTTTTCTTTCTAACCCTTTTACCTTTGTGTGAAGACTTGTGTTATATATGTGCCATTTACTGCCACTCTCTCAACATCTTTTCATTAGTATGCAGATAAAATGAGCATTGTGTGTGATCCAGGCCACTCTCTGCTCTGGCCTCTCATGGGAGGGTGTCATGGCAATACCCACGGCAGGCATTTGGAAAGGCCCTTTTGGCTTCCTGCAGAACTGGAGCCCGTGGACTCGGGGGAATTTAGGTCTCCCTTATAGCCTCCAGACAGTTCGCAGCACAGCAAGGTGGTGCAGTGCGTCCTAGACAGCCTTGTGGTTTCCAGGAAGTCAGAGAAGGTTCAGGGGGCTGGGAAGAACATTCCTATAATCCCAGCTCCCCTCCCAAGAGACAAGGATGAGTGAAGGTCTCCTACTCCCAATGGGTAACACTCGGCTTTGCCTCCCCTGGCCCCAGGGAAGCCTGGATCAGCTGGATGAGGTGGCCGCCCTGATTGCTGCCACAGTCCATGACGTGGATCACCCGGGAAGGACCAACTCTTTCCTCTGCAATGCAGGCAGTGAGCTTGCTGTGCTCTACAATGACACAGCTGTCCTGGAGAGCCACCACACCGCCCTGGCCTTCCAGCTGACCGTCAAGGACAGCAAGTGCAACATTTTCAAGAACATTGACAGGTTGGTTGTGCTCAGGTTGTGACGTGCAAGTAGGAGACTCAGTTTTCCTTAACTTCTACGAGTGCTTAGCTTCCTCTTGGGGGGAAGGCGAGGGGGGAGTAAGACTAGTTGCACCCTTGTATCAGAGAGTGAAATAACAACCTTGCCCTTACAACGTAATTGTATTTCAGACTGCTTTCATCTTTTTAAATCTCATTTGGTCTTTAGTGAGTTCATGGAAATGTTTTATACACAGCAACTCTATAAATATTGATTGTATTACTAATAAGTATAATAGATATTTTTACCCATTTAGGAGGACATCTTTTATGTAACTCAAGGAAAATGTACCCTTCCCTGTCTTTTCCCAGCTCAGTTTTTGGCCACTTAAAATCCTAACTCATGAGGAGACAGTGTACTACAGGTCCCAGCAGGGCTGCAGGAGCCCGCCAGCTGGGCAGGTCCCCCCTCGCCGTTGCCCTCTCTTCTGGTGAGAGTTGGCCAGTATGGACAGACAGGAGCGATTCCTCTTGCCGGCCCCAACCCTACAGTCAGGCTGAGTTTATTTCCCACAGAGCACCAGCCAGGCTGGAGAGCAGGCTCCTGGGAGAGGGCAGTGTGCAGAGCACAGCGCTCACTCAGACCTCAAGGCCCACTTCTCAACATGAACTTATCAGTTTGGTCTCCAGAAATCTGAGAAATATAGAGACCAGTTATTCTACCTTCAACTTAAGTTTCATCAGTCTCAAGGACTGTTTTCAAAACTTTCACAAAAAGAATTCTTTCCAGTAGCCAATTTTATTCAGCTCGCCATCTTGGCTGTTGACGCGAGATGATGGTGATCAGAACTGGACAGTAATTTGGGCAGGGTTATTGCTCCATCCATTACAACTTCTAATTGTCATTTAGAGAAGTACTTATTAATGAGAAGATATTCTTCCGTATCAACAGAAAACATTCTTCCAATGCCAGCATCGAAAAAAATGACAATTCTCTGCCTTGCACGACATTTGTCCTGTCCAAAACATCCATGGTGACATGTGATCCACACCAAAGGGTCCTTGAAATTTGGTCCAAAATGTGCATAGCTAATATAGATCCTACTCTTCTGTAATATTCAAACCCCGATCTATCTACCTAACCCCTTGTGCCATGACCAGAAAGGCTACCGATGCAAGACGACTATTATTGACAACAGCCACTACACAGTTAAGAATCACTGTCTGCAATGCACACAGTAGGGCAGCTCCTCAGGTTGCTGTGCCAGCTTGTAGGAAAGGAACTTGTCATTTCCTTCCACCTCACTGTTTTGATGTTGTAGAGTAGAAAGGAATCACCTTCTAAAATAAGTGCCCACTGTGTGAAGGTGCTTTTTATGTATATTCATAAATCATCAGAGGAAAGGTCAGCTGTCGCTGGGGAAAATGGAATAGTATCACAAGTCCTGGTTTCAGGGGAAGATGACCATGTAAACTTTTCCGTGATTTGCACTCATTTTGTAACTCTGTGTCCAGCTCCCTCCTACTTTTTGGTGAAAAGGTAGCAGAATGGTTCTAATTCCAGACATGATGTGAGCAAGGCTCTTTGTCTTCTGGTTATTTCAGGAACCATTATCGAACACTGCGCCAGGCTATTATTGACATGGTTTTAGCAACAGAGATGACAAAACACTTTGAGCATGTGAACAAGTTTGTGAACAGCATCAACAAGCCAATGGCAGCGGAGGTAAGCATTTCTCATGTAGTAAGTACATCAGAGTGTATTTCCATCAGAGTCTACTCTGGCCTCAAAGCATTTTCTCTGTTTTGAATGCAAGGTGGTTATTTGCTTGAGGTTGGTAAAGCAGGGCTGAAAGTACTGGCCACTTGTTTTCCTTGGGGTCAAGAACAGATTGACAGTGTCCACAGCAACTCTGAGCTCCCTGAAAGACAGGCCCTGAGATAAAACCAGTGGTGACAGAAGGAGGTAGATTCAAGGAATATGAGAGGAGGAGCCTGCAGACAGCACACTAGCATAAACGGTGCTATTTAAGAGATCCACACCCTTTCTGTTTCTGTTCTTTGAACTGTTGGGGGACCTCAAAATCGCAGGTGTGCTGTTGCATTTACATGAGCCTCCTCACGGACCTGGCCACTTGGCTCAGAACCTCTGACACACACCACTGGGTACATTATTAGTGTATGACCAGTCTTTTTAAACATGCCAAACACCCCTGTTCCTGCCCTGGCCCCCCTTTTGCTCCTAGTACCCCCAAAGCTTATATGGTTCACACTCCCTCACACCCAGTCAGAAGAGCGGCCGAGAAAGCACGAGCGGGCACATCCCCTAAGAGAAAGCAGCCAAGTAGGGAGAGGTGGGTGAGTAGGGGTGAGACAGAGGGTCCCAGGAGAGAGGGCATGGGTAGGCACAAGTACACCTTAGTGAAGAAATAATTGAAGGGTCACGTGTGTTATTTCCCCATCTTTAATGTATTAAAAAACAAGTTCTGCTTTTACACATCTGATAAAACTGGGAGAAAAGCTCTCCTTCTTTAAGGTTACATACCAAATTACTGCAAACAAAGCAAAACAGAACTGCCACAGCGGTCCCCCCGGGGAGGGCGGGAGGGAGTGCATGAGTGGCAACAGGAATGTTGACCTTTCAAGCTCTGCTTTTATATTGCTTGAGGTTTTCTTTAACAAGAACACATCAGGGTATTACATGTGAAATTAATGACGGGAAAACCTTTTCCGAGTCACGGTCTCGCCTCGGTGGGCCCCAGTGAAGGCCATCTCACGGGCGGCCAGCCAGCCCTCGTGGGCTTCACCATCACCTTGAGCCAACCCTTGTCTCCTGTTTCCAGATGGAGGGCAGTGAGTGCGAGTGCAGCCCTACTGGGAAGAACTTCCCCGAGAACCAGATCTTGATCAAGCGCATGATGATCAAGTGCGCCGACGTGGCCAACCCGTGCCGGCCCCTGGACCTGTGCATCGAATGGGCCGGGCGCATCTCGGAGGAGTACTTCGCGCAGGTGCGTGGCCTCTGCAGGGAGGCTTCGCTCCTCCCCCGGGAATGGGCCGGGGGCATGGCCCTCTGAGGATTCTCCTTGTCAGTTAGCCCACGGCTCCCCCGGGAAGGAGCAAAGTCTCTCTAGGGGGAGAGGAATAAACTTAGCCTTTGGAGGTGTCCCTTCATCCTCAAATTGTTAGATCCTGAACTTCTACAAAAACTGGGGAGACCATCTATTCACTCACGAGGTTATCATCTCCATGGTGTATTATGGAGAACACAGACATAAGCCATGGGTAGCTCACAATATAGTAGAGATGTAGAAATAGGTAGATCCACACATCGGTGAGAAAAAAAAAAAGAAAGAACTCTAAAGGAGGTATGTGTTAAGTTCTAAGAAAGTTCAGAAATATTTTTTTTCCTAGGTAAAGGAGGGGCTTTGTGGAAATGATGTTAGAGCTGTTTTTTGTTGTTTTAAGGATTTAGAAATGTGGTAATAGGAAAGGACTTTCTGGGACACCAAAGCATTATTAGCAAAATTAGTAAGGAGGAAAACAATCTCAATTTTTATATAAGGAGAGCAGCGATATCTAGTTCACTTTGGCAGTACAAAGAAGAGTTAAGGGAGAAAAATACAGAACGTGATAGACCGCACGACGCCACTTGAAATAAACGCCTGCTTTCAGGGAAGATGCGTGTATGTGCAACAGAAAGATAAACACACAAGTAGTAGCTACAGGTGATGCATTGGGGGGGGTCCATATGGCTGGCCTGTACCTCTAAGGTACCTTAATAACTAGCTGGCGACATCTGAAAGGGCCAGTGAAGGGAATGGCCAGCCGAGGTCCCAGTAGTTAGCTGCAGCTTTCAAGGCTGGGAAGAGCCCCTGAATTGAAGAAAAGTAGGGCACGCAGTTCTGGGCTTGCCAGAAAGAAGAGGGGGGGAAAACACCCAACTACTCTTTGAACAACAGTGGATATTTTAAGGCTGCCTGATTGACCAACCTGAATGAGCACGCTGAGCCAAAAGCGGGTAGGAGGCTGGTAATGGGCTTCCCAGGACCCCGAGAGGACTTGAAATCCTGCTCCTAGCTGTTCTCAAAGTACGTGAATGAGAAAGAACCACTTTGAAGTTCTTTCATGTAGCTTTTTTAGTACATTTCCCAAAAAGGAATGTACTACTGTTCACGAGCCAATGTGACCTCAAAACCAAAAGTTACAAATGGGGCCTCTGATCAGCTGGCCTCTGGCTCAGCACAGCACCAGGACATGTGGATCTCAACATTCAGCTCACCGAAGGAGGGCCTGACGCATATAAACATCCGCTTCAGTGCGCAAAATACCCAGATCCACACACGCCTTGAGCGAACTGCATGACCAGTACCCAAGTCTGAGACACAAGCACAGTGTGTCAGTCAGTCATTCCTCTGAGTAAAAAGCGTTCCTTGAAAAAAGTTAGTTCAGCTGAACTGTACGCGGGCTTTCCCTCGAGACCACCAGCGTCATCGGGTGTGCAGCGCAGGGGCTTTCCCTGTTCTTCCCAGTGTGTCACACACAAGATTAAAAAGATGAATATTTAAAGGTCCAAATTGAATAAGATTCATAATTCTTGCTGCTTCAGTGAGGACGTTAAGTGAAACGCTTCCTTTTTAAACCGCCAGCATGTGACAGTGAATAATACAATGACTGGTGGTACAATGTGCCGCCAGTTCTTTGATTCATGCTGAGGTATCAGCAGCACCACCCATCATTGCTTCTGTGCCCTCGGTGTAAATGTCAGTATCATTCGTGTTAGTATTTAGTGTTGTTAGTATTACTTTGAAAATAGCCTTGACCTTGCAATAATGAAAGCAGATCTCAGGAAGGAGGGAATGAACCCGAGATGCCCGGCACTTTAGGCGGGGCAGGGTATAGCAGAAGAGACTTGAGTCAGAGATCTGAATCTGGTTACTGCATCTCATTGGGTGGTTGGCTTTCAGAAGCCCCAGAACCTTGCTGAGCCTGTTTCTTCACACGCACGATTGGTCGATGCCCCGTTTCCCAGGATTGTTCTGAGAAACGAGACCATGCTGTAACATGTAGCAGTTCCTGTGTGCCCTACAGCCTGCAGTGTTGTCTCTTACAGACTGATGAAGAGAAGAGACAGGGACTGCCTGTGGTGATGCCAGTGTTTGACCGGAACACCTGCAGCATCCCCAAGTCACAGATCTCCTTCATTGACTACTTCATAACAGACATGTTTGACGCCTGGGATGGTAAGATAGCTCCTGTTTTGTCATCTACACAAAATATTTTGTTATTCCTTATGATGATCACCTTTAATGACACAGACTGTACCTAAAGGTATAAATGAAATGTTTGGGGTTTTTTAAAACTCACCTGTTTGCGGTCAGGGATGGTGGGGTACATGCATACTTTGTGTCCCCAGCACCTGAGACGAATCTTGTGCACAAAAGACTCAGTGGATGTTTGATAAATTGATAAGCAAGTCTTTACTTCTTCAAAGGACCTCTTCCAAAGCTTACAGCAGTTGTATTCTAGCACCGGAAGAAACTTTAGAAAGAACACAAAATGTATTAAAATCTACTGTGAATCACAGATTCTTTTGGTAATGGCTTTTCAGTTTTTAACTGGAAGTACCTGTTTGTATCTCAGAAACTAGTGCTTAATGACTTACCTTCTAATACTGTGTGTTAACTTGCAGCCTAAGGCCTGACCTGGGGTACTTCTCCTGTGATTCTGATCCCAAATTTGTCCCAAAGAACCCCAGCCCTGTGCTTCTGGGAACCTAACTTAATTTAACCGGCTTCTTTTACATCCTTGCAGCCTTTGCACATCTGCCAGCCCTGATGCAACATTTATCCAATAACTACAAACACTGGAAGACATTAGATGACCTGAAGTGCAAAAGTCTGAGGCTTCCATCTGACAGCTAAAGCCGAGATGGGAGAAGGGGACCTCTTATCTACAAAGGGCATGGTGAATCACAGAGTATAAATGAGAGGCTTTCCTTTATCATGAAAATGACAAGTGTAGGTCAAGGAGCTAATGTTTAATATTTGACCTTGAATCAAATAAGCCCCCAGATTTCATTTTTAGAAGGTCATGCTCCATGAAGAAAAATGTTCTTTATACAATCAGTGACAGAACAAACACAGGGCAAAATTCTTTGCCCTGCTGTCACCCATGTGCCCTCATCAACCATGGAGATGAATGACTATAACTAGCAGGACACATGTAGCAGACTTGGTGCCTCTGAGCCCATCTCCCTGGATGGTGACCAAGTAGCTTAGCTAGTGTTCAGCTCATATCTTACCACAAAAGTCACCGTCACTGTGTAGCTTGACTATTTTCCTCAAGAGCACTGGTCTGAAGGATTCATAAGAATATCTAAGAAAAAAAAACCAACTATATAAAATGAGCAAAACTAGGACCAAATTATTGATAAACCGGTTAGCTTCACAGCCTCCATGGCTAAGTGGTTCTTCTGATCGATGTTATGACACCCAAGTTAGAACACAGCCGTGGCCTGGTGAGTGCCTTCTCTAGACTGGTATCAGCAGCCTGTGGAGCCCTCTTTCCTGTGAAAGGCATTCATCCTAACAGAAAGCTATCCATGATGGGGAAGGGAGTGACATCGTGTTTCAGGGGACTCTATGAGATTCCCTAACAGAGGCAGTCACAAGGCACTATAGTGAGTATTATACACAAGCCATTAAATCTGAATGCCCTTGGACAAGCTTTTTTTAAAAAAGAAAAAATTTATATACATTTGCTGTTTAAAATTTTTATGAAATCAATCTAAATTTTCTGGATATAAGTCAATCGAGTATGTTGTATACCATGTACCGTCTATATGTATATGTTTGGGGAGGGGACGGGAAGTTTCAAGGTTCAGATGTTTTTAACCTATCTATATTTGCGATCATGCAGTTTTCCTTTAATGATGTAAAAAAATTGCAAGATGTGTAAATATATCAGAAAATAGACATATGGGGAAACAGTAAATACTATTAATTGTATGTAAAAGCTTCTAAAGCACAAGTGCATATTTTTATACGGCTCTTTTCACAACTTTCTGTGATCCACATGAAGTTAGACTTGAAATTTTCCTTTATTTTATCAGTCAACCCCTCTATGTATTATAAATATTAGAAACTCAGTAAACAAAATATCTTCATTTTTCTTTCAAATTCTTTGTACTCCATGCTGCATTTTTAAGAGGTATAAACAGACTGAATCAATTGAATCCGTTTTTTCAAACGAAAATTGGAATGCAGAACACTTGGAATTAGTACATGGGAAGAAAAAAAATGACTTATCACTACATAATGTGCCAATGTTTTTTTCTATGTTTTGTACCAAAAAAATGGAAACATATATGACAATCCATGCAAAGAAGTGTATCTAAATTATCTTAGGTGAGAGAACGTGCTTGGTCAGGACAGCAGCTAGCTTTGTATTGTAACCTACAGTATGTAAATGTGATGAAATGTTTCTGTGAAATACAGCCATTTTTCATTTCCAACAGCTGTTTTTATTTTACCTCCTCTTTGACCTAGATTTTTCATAATTTCAAACTTTCAGTTCAGTGTCCTTTATTTTGTGAGTCATATACTTTGTTTTCAGAACACATTACATTCAAGATATCAGAGTCCCGTTTTAAGGAGCTAAAAGTTTGCCTAGGCTTCAGGAGCTTGCTCAAGGTGAGGATAGTCTTTTCCTGACCATCCCTCTCAGTTCCATCTGGTAAGTAAGAAACATTTATCAGCTGTCTCACATTTTCTATCTGAATGTAAGCTGTAACGCTTACTCAGTGGAATGTCAAATTAATTTCAAATTAATTTCATCTTAACTTAAATTCTTTAAGACTGCCAGGTACTAAAGCTTCCACATAGTTCTGGTCTTTTATGGTGTAATCTTCTGAGTTGCTACCTAAATAGTGCATTCCTCCAAAGAGTCATTTTTCTAGAAATACAGTTTTTCAGATGGAATGTGCATCAGATGGGTATAAACTATTATAACTGCCTCTTATCCTGAGTTGTTTACTAAAACATTCTGTGTTGAGGGGAGCTATATTAATTTAGGAAAATGCAACCCTATCTAATACAAAGAGAAGTCATGTTATTACTCCTACTTAACCAGAAGAAAAAGTTAAAAAACATTGTTACCTGCACCAGAATAACCCTATAATTTAACTAAGTCATTCTTTACTTCCAATTTAAGATTTTAAAATTTGCTTGCCTTTAGAATCAGGACTGGTTAGTCTTGTGGGCAAAGAACAAGGTTTATTAGTTCAATCAGAGCCCACTCCACTTGAGGAAGATAAAGGGAAGGGATGATACACTGCACCAAAGTTTAGGTTCTTGATTGTGTTTGAATACAGCCAGAGAATGAGGTTAATAAGGTACACTACAGAGTGTTATTTGCAGATATAATACCACTGAAAACTAAGATGGAAAAAATGCACGTAATGCATGTTGACCTCAATTATAATTGTATTCTTCTAAATTAGGGCATTCATGAAGGCAAAAACCATCAAGTCCAGTGAGTGGGTTGGAGGCTTCCCTCTAGACATAGTGGTTTCTCGTGGTGGAAAATTAACTAGAGCATAATAACAGGGATTTGCCATGGTACTTATGGCAAATTTGCTCCCAAAACTCACCTGTGGTTTGTGAGACCCCCTGTGAATAGAATCCTATCACAAAATACTAACCCAGAACAGATTAGGAAATAAAACAGTTAAAAATATTAGTTCCTCATATAATTCACTGAATATGTCATAAGCAATTCAAGAAAACAACTTTACAAACTCATGACCTAATGTAAAATTTCCAAAGAAAACGCTAGCTACTAATAGAGTAAAGTCCATCTATAGAGGAAAATTAAAGCCTGAAAATGATTCTGAGATTATTTAATCAAACTGATCGACCATCTGATGCACTCAGACCAGATGGCATGTCTGCCTGGCACTGGGATACTAACCACGCTCATTTCAGGATGAAAGATTAGAAAATCATCTGCACAACTCCTCGAATATACCACAGGTAGCAAGTTGCTGGCTCAAAGGGGGTGCTGATTTTCCTACTCATGTTCTTCTATTCTGTAATGGAGGTAATAAAATTTTAATATATTTCTCTATAAAGCTGTTTTCATTACAAATTAAAACAAATAACTGAGACCATTATTTGGTTTTCCTCATGTGGTAGTCATATAAGCCTTTATCTCTGATCCCAGTCCTCTCTGATGTGTTTTTAATGCTGCTCAATGAAGGTAAGGGGACAGAGCTGGCAAATTGTAAGGCCTTACCCTTCTGGGCCTCGGTTTTCTCCTTTATAACATGATGGCACTGGTCTGGCACAGGTGACTTAGCTCTTCAGTCTTTGTAGACAGTCGTGGAAGCAACTGTGAAAGGTAAAACTAGTGAAAACAACAACTTACAAAGATTCCATCAGGAGTGTGTGTGGTGACCAAATGCATCTGCAGGGCAGGCTCGTGAAGAAGCATCAGCCTCTGGCATGTCCTCACCTTGCACTTGCTTTACAGGATTCTTTCATCAGCAGTTTAAGAGTAACCCCACTCCTATCCGCGCCCAATTCTTAAAGTGCGGATCACCTCTTAATTTTTATCCTTTCATACCAAAGGGAGGGAGAATGCTCTGGTGAAACGCTGGTGGGTGATGGAGGTGATTAAATCTCGGAGGCCAATGCAAGAAACTTTATTTCTGAGTCCATGGTAAGGGGAGCCAGGCAGGCTGGACTCCTCTCTGACCGTCAGTGGGAAGGTGGACCAGGCACGCTGGACCCCTCTCTGAGTGGAAACACTGTAACTCTTTCCTCACCGCTGGCACAGATGAGGGGCAGCGGCTGGTGCAGTGCCAGTCTAGCCAATAGCTCTTCAGGCCAATTCACACTGGGGTGGGGGCTGTCAGGGATACACCCTTATAAGATTCCTACTGATTTCAGTTTATAGGGATTTTAGTAGCTAGAACTAAAAAAATGATTTAACAAATTAGTTGGCATCAAAAAAAAGCTGTAGTTAAACAGTGAGATACTCAAATTTGCTCTATAGAACACTGATAATTAGTCACTAAGGACCAGGGGAATTTGTAGGAGAAAGGGTGTATTTCAGTTTATCACCAGGGTCCTCAATCAAATGGGCTCTAAAGATAACCAAAGAATAAAAAGCTTCTACTTAATGCCACCATTTTACTGTCTATTTGAACGCCCTCCCAAGACCCGAGTTCAAATGAAGCTCGGCGCATAGCACTCACCACTCAGCAGCAGCTCACTGTGCAGCCTGTTTCCTACAGAGAAGAAGCGGGTTTCTCGAGATCGCAAGGTTTAAATTCAAGTTACAATACATCCTACCTCCTCTTCAGTGGGCTTTTCTCCCAAAATATATTCTATAATTATCATGTATATTTATTTCCTTAAAAGCAGGTTCCTTAAGTAGATGTTTAAAGGAATGAACAGGTATGGTTAAAATATTCATTTTAGAGAACAAGTATTTAAAAACCCAAAGACTAAATGAAAGAAACTATATGCAACTTTTTAAAAAAATCTAATGATGAATAAGAATTAGAGGTAATAAAATTATATTAAACAAAGAAAGAGGTTCTGAGTACTATGCTCATTAACCATAAGCTCATAATTTCTGGTGTAAAAAATTTTTAATTGTCTATAAGGACACAATGGTATAATTTAATTCTTTATCAACAGATATTTGTAGTATGATCTGAAAACTTCTCTTTTTGAAAATCCACTACTCAAATACTTGCGTTATATTCTTTGGTGGATCCACTCACGCGTAAGAAACAACTTGTTGCTGGTTTGTGTGCCCACAAAAAGAGAATTCAAACAATCAGAATTTTATAGTGACAAGAACAACAATACACATTTAAGTGACTGCATGTGAATGGTTTCCAGAGTATTCCCCTGTAGTTGATGTTCGGAGCTCATGCATATGTATTCTAAGTTCCTTAAACTAGGCGACAAGGTATAGGTCACCATTCTCCTCTAGTTTTTGAAACAACTTTAAGCTGCGCAATCCAGATTCTCGTTCTCCATTTTTCCACAAAATAATGAGGTGATCGGCAGAGCACGTCACCAGTCCATGATCTTCAAAGTACAGAAACATCTGTAAAGAAATTTAAAACTACTGAGTACAGGAACTTCAAGAAGAGAGGTGGCCAAACTAGATCAACATGTGTGCTTGTAAGATGTGTACCTTGGAGATATCAACACTTTAAGATTTCTCATGGAAAATGATAACAGTCACATACAAATATATAAATGCTAAAAATGTAACTACTAGACCAATATCTAGTATTTTAATAATCAGAACTTTAATACTGCCCAACTACAGAGCTATAATAGCTATTTTTGTAATGTACATGAATTCCCAAAGTATCTTCTGAATTTATTATTCTTCAAGTACTAGTTTTAAGATTTTGTCAGAAGTCCTGCCAGACCTATTTTACTTAGCCACTTATACTTCCCCCATTATTTGTAGACAAATGGCTACCCAAAAAAAGGGTCTGAATTCAAAATTCTCCGAGATAAACACTGGCTTCAGATCTGTAAGTAGAGGGAGGTGTAATCAATCCATCCATAAGCATTTACTGAGTGTCATCTATATGCTATATGGTCCCTACCCTCAAGAAGGTTCTAATTCAGTCGTAAAAACCAAATCATAGCTGAAACAATTAGGGTGCCAATTAAAGACTGTGGATCAGGTACTGTATAATAATGTCATTCAGACTATAATTTGTCACAGAAATTCAGGAAAAGGGAACATATAATAACAAATCGTCAGAGGAAGCTTCAAAAACATAAACCTCCAAATAAACGGAAGGTCATACCCAGTGAAGAACAGGCTGGGAACTACGGCTAGGAGAATGGAGCACTGAGGGGAAGGCAGAGTGAGTACTGTGGGGTGGAGAGCAGATAAATGAAGCCATGAAAAGGAGGAGCTCCTCCAAGGAAAGAATGAAATAAAGAAGAGAAATAAAACAGCACTGAAGGACAAGAGGATGAGCGTTTCCTCTGAAATAATTTACATGTCTGAAGATAGCAGGATGAGGAGAGCTGATGATGTAGGAGTGAAGGGGGCAGATACTGGACCAAATTCCTCAGGGCACGGAAAAGGCAGAATTCAGAACGCAGAGGGGCTGGGTTGGAGAGCACACAGCAAATACAGTAACAGGAGTGAAGAAACTCAGGAGACAGTATACCTAAGAGATGGTCTAGATTTTCTCAATAAAGCAGAGGTACTTTTTTAAAAAAAAAATCTTTAAGTATCAATACTTTCGCTCAGGAACATTCCTAAGAACTGGCATTTCTATATTATGACAAATGTGCCACTTTGAAGGCTTCCCCCATCACTGAGAAACTTTAATGGGTTCCTACTATTTTAAAAATAAAGTCCAAACTCCTCAGCCTTACACTCAAGGGCGTTCATAATCTAACCGAAGCTCCTTTCCCGAGCTTCATCTCCTACACCAGCACGTGTTCACAGAAACCCAGCGCTCCAGCCTGGCGAGCTGCTCTTTGCCACCAAGCAGCTCCCATTTCTGCCCTTCTGTCTGCCACACTCCATCCTCACCACTCCCAAACGACACAATGGCCAAGCAAGCGGGACAAAGTCAAACAGTGGACAAAACAGCTGGGCTGCTTGTTAGAGGAAAGCAGAGACGAGTACCCAACATCGGGGAGCATCGTCCTACCCAACTTTCAAGGTTCAGCTCTAGTCTCAAGTCCCCTATCTTCCACTAACCATTTTCTTCTAATTCCCAAACATTCACTGTCTGCTCCGCATCTGGGTCTATATAAGAAGCCTAGATTTCACAACCTATTAGGTCTGTATCATTTCTCTCCACTAAAGTATAAGATCCACAAGGGCAAGTATTGTGTTTTCCATCTCTTTGTGAACTCCACTGTCTAGCATAGCACCTGAAACCCTAGGAAGGGCCCCATAACAAGTGGTGCTTCTGCTCCCGAGCATAAATGCACCTTCAAACGACAAGTAATTTGCCTCTCCCTGGCTATGAAGGGGAGAACGACTTGGGACAGTGCTTTCTTAGGGCCTTGCTTGCACTGCTATCATACCATTCCCAGGCCCAGCCATCTCTTTGCCTTGCCTCGTATTATCCCTTCCTTATATCAATGGCTCCTAAGGAAATACTAATGCACCTGGATTTCCACAAGCTAGTATTGTATGCACTTTATAATTCCCAACTAATATTTTCCTATATGCATAATGATAAGACACTGGGTTTTACTAAAGCTGACAAATGAGTGTCCTTCAAAGGGCGGTAAAGCAGTGCTCTACTCATGAATACAACAGGGGCCCCTGGAACCAGATTCCATAAGGCTAACTC